AAATACCTAATTTAATTGAATTATAACTATGCTATTAGTGCTGGGCGATAAAACGATCTCGATTTTTTTTTTTATCGATAAAAAATAAGGACGATCGCTATTATACACACAGACTATAAAACTCAATCAACCAAATTTGCTCCGTTTTAGAGAATGCGCTGAACAGACAACTCGATGGCCTATCGAGCAGAGGTTTACTGAACGCCAGCACAACAGCCAATCACTGACGACGTAATTTTGCCCATCCTTCCTTAAAGAAGCAATGGGTGCGTTCGACTGCAGCTGACGCAACGTGGAGCGCAAATATCAAATATCACCTGCATGCCGCCTTCACAGATTGGACGATCGGTATGTCTTTCTGATAGGTATGTCTGATGGGTATGTCTTTCTGATGGGTATGTCTGTCTGATTGGTATGTCTGATCGGTATGTCTTTCTGATGGGTATGTCTGATAGGCATGTCTTTCTGATGGGTATGTCTTTCTGATGGGTATGTCTTTCTGATGGGTATGTCTTTCTGATGGGTATGTCTTTCTGATGGGTATGTCTGATGGGTATGTCTGATGGGTATGTCTGATGGGTATGTCTGATGGGTATGTCTTTCTGATGGGTATGTCTGATGGGTATGTCTTTCTGATAGGCATGTCTTTCTGATGGGTATGTCTGATAGGCATGTCTTTCTGATGGGTATGTCTGATAGGCATGTCTTTCTGATGGGTATGTCTGTCTGATGGGTATGTCTGTCTGATGGATATGTCTGTCTGTGCATGTCTAATGGGCATGTCTTTCTGATGAGCATGTCTAATGGGCATGTCTTTCTGATGGGCATGTCTTATGGGCATGTCTTTCTGATGGGCATGTCTAATGGGCATGTCTTTCTGATGGGCATGTCTTTCTGATGGGCATGTCTTATGGGCATGTCTTTCTGATGGGCATGTCTAATGGGCATGTCTTTCTGATGGGCATGTCTTTCTGATGGGCATGTCTTATGGGCATGTCTTTCTGATGGGCATGTCTTTCTGATGGGCATGTCTCATGGG